CAAGTTGGGATGCTGTGCACTTGGGAGGCCAGGTTGCAAAGATCACAAGTTCAAAGTCAATTTGGACTACAAAGTAAATTCTAGGCTAGTGTTAATGCAAGGTGAGACCCCCCAACCCACTCCCAAATTCCAAAACAGAAAATAAAAACACACAATAATACACAGCTTTTGTCAACTTGATAAACATACACATGCAGATATAACATATGTGATATGTGTCATGTGTATACATATCAGTGCCTGGGTAGTATAACAGTGCTCTCTACTTTTTAAGTTTTTCTCTATTTTCCTGAACTTCTATGAGACATGTATATCATGTGAAAATTGCATTCAAATTTTTAAATGTTCTGCTTTTAAATATATATATATAGGTTGGCCGGGCCTTAGTGGGACATGCCTTTAATCCCAGCACTTGGAAGGCAGAGACAGGTGGATCTCTGTGAGTTCGAGGCTAGCCTGGTCTACAGAGCGAGTTCCAGGACAGGCTACAAAACAATACAGAGAAACCCTGTCTCAAAAAACAAACAAAAAACCAACCCCCCCAAATTAGGTTGCTATGATAACATTTAGACGTGATTTTGAGATTATTTATATTGATCATTTAGTTCCTTCCAAAAAAAGGAATTATCGCTGGGCGGTGGTGGCACACGCCTTTAATCCCAGCACTCGGGAGGCAGAGGCAGGCGGATCTCTGTGAGTTCGAGGCCAGGCTGGACCGACAGCCTCCAAAACAATACAGAGAAACCCTGTCTCGTAAAACCAAAAAAAAAAAAAAAAAAAAAAAAAAAGGAATTATCGTTTACTCATATCTTGTAAGTCTATGTGAGTTGAGCTGTGTGACAGATATTCACCAGAACAAAACTGGCATTTTGTTATTTATGTCATCTCGATCCCACACTGAGAAGCCACCCTGTGTCAGGAAAAGGTGTTGGACTGAGGGGTCTTGGGCCTAAGATTTTCAGCAAAGCCTGGAGTAACCCTCTGGACCTCCCTTTCCTTCTATCAAACAGATAGCAATACTCGATCTACACTTTCTCATAGTTGTTAGTTCTGAAGGCCGCATGAGATGCCCCAGGCAGGAGGCAGAGAAGTGTGCAGTGTTTTAAAAGCAGTAACTACCATTTTAAAATAGGCCAGTGCCTGCCTGGAATTGATAGTTGATCTATGCAGTCTTTCTATGTCTTCCTCCTGATAAGGAAACACACTCCCTGGGCTTTAAAAAAATGTCCCCATTCCTCCCACAGCCTGTTTCATGATAATATTAAAAAATGCTATCCCTTAGGGGGAGTTAGAAAGGTCAAGGCACACCCCTGACTTACCCCACCAAGACAGTGGGAAAATGCCTGGTTTCTTCCTTCCCTAGAAACAGAGGAAGTGGCAGAGACTTCAGAGGTCTTATGGGACAGCACACGTCACCTTTACAAAGTGGGCTATCTACTGGCAAGTCTGTTGGCCAGACCTCTGATTCCTGCTCAGGGTACCAAAGCATTCAGACTGTACACTGGTCCCCACAAACACCTCCAGGACTTGGCTCTTGTGAAGACGCTCGTCCCATCTGATTCAGATTATTGCAGACTCTCATTATGCATATTTTTGGGGACAGGGAAACCCATAACCTGTCCATGCCTCACAGCAACTACTACAAGGATCAGAGGACTCTTGGTCACCACAAGTACACCGGTGTCACATGACCCAGAAGCTTCTCTCTCTGCACCCTGGCGGCACACACCACTCAGGCAGCTTTAAAATAGCTTGGGCCACCCTCCAAGTATAGAATTTAACTAGAATCCTTGAGAGTGGGAATGAGTTGTCAGTATTTTTAAGTTCCTTGGGTGATTCCAAGTGCATCCAAGACTGCAAAGCCCTGTTTGGATCCCACACAAATCAAGGCATCTCCCCCATGCAGACTTCAACACTGTTCTTTCTGTGAGGGCTCCACATGAGGTCAATTCATATGTGGTCCTTGCACATGCTTAACTGTCGTTGACCCAAGAGCTCTCCTTAGCTCCTCTACAGGCTGACTTTGTCTTTCAGCCATCAATTCCACAAACTGAAGAAGAGTATTATTATCTTAGCCAATACCTGTTTGGGCCAGGCCATTTGGATTGTGGAGTGCTACCCAATCTAGGAATTGGCTACTCTGAGGGAAAAACTATGTCTTTCTAGCCATAATAATCCATGAAAAGGGCCAGGGGTTATGTAAAATAAAACACATTCATTCTGCTTTGCCCTAGAACTGTCGTGTATGAATATGGGCGTGGGAGGATACTATTTCCCTTAATGGAGACCATAGAATACTTGATTTATCTGATTTAATCATAAATCATAACATTGAAACAACATGTTTTTTTTTTTAAATTTCAAGACAGGGTTTTTCTGTGTAACAGTTCTGGCTGGCCTGGAAATAGTTCTGTAGACCATGTAAGCCTCAAATTTATAGAGATCTGCCTGCCTCTGCCTCTTGAGTGCTGGGATCAAAGACGTGTGCCACCACCTCCTGACAAAATAAAATGTATTTGTAAGACTCTATAAAAATTAAGAATTTGAGTTTTGTTTTCCTCATAGAATGATTCTATTTATGAGTCTTTTCAAGTTTATATTGAATAATAAAATGAATAAGTCACTCAAGTATATTTAGAATATATGTATAATTTTACAATCCCATGTTCATAGAAACCACTATTGAGTTTAGAATTAAAAAGCTCTGATATTCATTATTATCTCAGCCAGAAGAATGTTTTTTAGCTTTTATAAGAAAAATTTAAGTTGAAGTATAATTATACATAAAGAAAAGGACACCATTGCAAGTATACTACTTCTCAATGGCTTTTTGTTTGCTTACAAATAAGCACCCTTGTGTGGTGTGTAACACCCAAGTTAAGAAACCAAGTGTTACTACACCCTAGAGACAGCCTTTGTGCTCACTTTCAGTTAGAATGTCCAAGAACAACCGCTGTGTCGATGTCTATCTGCATAGACTTGTTCAGCTGGTTTTGTTCTTTCTATGTTAACCATGTAGCATGAACTTCATCATGTTCTGACCACTTTACTTAGGATATCTTGCTTGTAGTTATAGTTAGCCAGAGGTTTTAATCTTTGAAATTTAGTTCAGCAAACATTTCATTTTCAAAACTATGCAATGGAAAAAAAAACTAGGCAATGGGATGGAGTTGGAGGCACTAAAACAAATAAGAGCAAGTCCTTGTTCTAAGATTATATCCAATATTGTAATCTAACAATGTGCTGGGAAGTGAATTTGTTCAACGAATATTTGTTCAGTCTTCACAATGAAATGGTTGCTATCCCAAGTACTAAGGATAAGTACTGAACAGGCCAACAGAAATTCTAGAAGAAATCCCATCTTTCATCTCTATGACATGCATAAACAAGGGATGGGCACTGGTACCCATTTTCCAGTCTATCTTGCTTCTGATTTAACATCAGGGGTGGTACTGATGAAAGCTATTTCTTCTGGAATCTTGAAGTATGGGATGAAGTTGCTGGTGAACCACAGGGCAGTTTGTAAACTGTTGAGCCCGAGAGGCACGTATCTGTTTCCATTGCTGCTTGCTGTATTTCTCTTTCTTCATTCCCGTGGCTGCCCTTACGGACAGAAACAAAACCCTAACCCTGCTCAAGCCTTTGGGTGGCAGCTTACCTAGGAGTAAAGCTGAGCGTCGTGTAGCTTTCCAAAACCATAAAATGAGAGGAGACAATTACCAGAGGGAAGTCATGAACCTTGGACTTCGTTTTAATAAGTACAGGCTGTAATATGTGTCTCATTAGTTGCTCTTGGCTTTTCAGAGTCTAGTGAATTACTTGAGTAAAAAGCCATGACGCCAGAGGGAAGAGGGATTAGTAGGGAACTCAACACCATTCCAGGATTGATAGTTTGGGAAGAAACAGAAGAGGTCATTTTATTTCATTAGGCTGGTTCATCCTCTACCTCCATCTTTTTATGGAAAAATATCGTCTCTAAAAATAGACTTGACCGTAAAATTCACACCTGTGTTCCCATCCTTCAGCTTCAAAACTTATAAGTTCATGTCTAACCCTCTCCTGATTATTCTGTCAAATAAATTACTCATTTAAAAATACTTCAGAAAGTAAAAACTCCTGGTTTAATCTTCTTGATTAATGGGCTCAGAAGGAAGTGGCTTGACAAATTACTGGCAATTACAATGAACCTATACTCCCAAAGTAAAAATATCACAAGATTTACTAACAGGATTATTACATTGTCATTAAATTGCCTGGCACACAATCCAATTATTTAGTCTAAAAATACCTGTTTTTAGGTTTTCAGTTAGAAAACTGGCAACTTCTCCAAAGGGTTCAACAGGGTGTGGTGACAGATTTGTTGATGCCCTTTATCCTCAGTGATTATGAAGCCAGGTCCTTGTGGATTTTGAAAGTGCCAACAAATTTGTCCACGTAAAAGTGTTTCTTTTAACTATTTAGTAATAAAATGGCCTCAATTGCCTCCTAAGTGTCATCATTTCCCATCTTCAGCCTGTCCCGTTTTCAAAGAAGGTTCGTTGGTGTTTGCTGTTCATGACCATTCACTATACCTGCCGTGAGCTATCACAGAATAATGGGGCTACATTTTTCCCCCTACAATTCCCAGTATTAAACTCCCAACCCCCCATTACTTTGGCCTGTCAGACTCTTCCAGAAGTTTCCAGAGCATGTTTTCACATAAAAATGATCACTAGTGCCTTTGTCGTAGTACCACAGAAAATGTAGACCCGGCTCTGTCTGCTGCCCACTTGCTCTGCTTGTATGTGTGACCCCATGACCTGCAGAGAGGAGCTTCGAGCAAACCCTTCACTAAGCATTTCAGGAGGAGTCAGACAAGCTTCCAAGGTTTTCTGCATAAACACTACAGAAAACCACCATTTATCTGTGTCAAGCTCCACCTGTCTCTCTGAGAGATGAAAGCACTGAAGATCAACAGGCCGACAGTTTAACTGTTCTCACTGTGTACTTTTTCTGGGCAGGTTGTTCACATCCAACTCCTTTGATGTGATCAGTGATGATGCTTTTATTGGTCTTCCACATCTAGAATATTTGTAAGTAAGACAACCTTTCCCCTGCCCAAGCTGATTGAGGACAGGTACCCCTCAGTTCCTATGGCTGCCTGACCAAAAATGTTGTCACCTCTTGCAGATTCATAGAAAACAACAATATCAAGTCCATTTCAAGGCATACTTTCCGGGGACTCAAGTCCTTAATTCACCTGTAAGTATGGATGTTGCTATTACTTTTCAAGCTTTGTTTGTTGGGCTGATTTGGGTCTGTTGGTGTTTCTGCAGTGCTGGGATTAAACCCAAGGCCTTGTACATGCTGAGTGAGCACTCTACCACTGAGCCATCGCCCTAGCCTTCATTTTTTGAGCTCATGAATTCAGTTTGGTACCTAAGCTTAAGCACCCATTTTATGAGTGCCCATGAAAATTTAAGAACTCAAATTCTTTCTCTCCATGCTGTCCTCTCTGTCATGTGTCAGCAAGTTCTCAGGAAATTGATTATGATTGCTATTTTTAGCCCAGATGGAGCATAATTAGAAAAGAAATCTATGTCATTGGAGGATTATCAGTTGACTTTAATTTGGTATTTGCTGTTCTTTTCTCACTGTATAAGTTCTGACATTATCTGTATTTAAACCTGATGTAGCCATCAGCAGTGTCTATATAGTGCCTGAACAGTCTATTTTACAACTGAAAAAGTAGCTATTCCATGGATGATTAAAGATACAGCAGTCATTCTTAACTAGGGACAATTTTATTTCCCAGGAAACGTGAAGAATTAAGAGCTGTGCTTACTTGTCACAACATGGGGATCTAACTAGTGGGTAGAGGAAAGGGCTGTTCCTTAGTTATCTGTAATGTAAAGGGCAAGCTCTTCAGCCAGGGATCACCAAGCCTGTGGCATAGCAGGGAAGGGGGAACCCTCTAACACATGAACCATGTAAATTTTTCTTCTGGTCTATTCCACCTCTTTAATACAAAGAACAGTGAGGTATTTTTACGGAAAATACACATTAGAGATATAACATCTACTCGTGTTAGAGATGAAGAAACAGTTTGTGACACTAGAAATTGAACCTGGAGCCTTCATTTGAAACAAGGGTCCTACCACTGAGTTGCATCCCTGAACCCCCATTTTTATATTTTTTGGGTTTTTTTTTGAGACAGGGTTCTTTGTATAGCCTTGGCTATCCTAGAACTACTTCTGTAGATCAGGCTGGCCTTGAACTCACAGAGATCCATATGCTCTACCTACCAAGTGCTGGGATCAAAGGTGTGCACCACCACGGTCCTGCTTTATTATTTGAGACAGCATCTTACTAAGGTGCCCAGGCTGGCCTTGAACTTGTTCTGTAGTCTAGACATGCCTTGAATTTGTGATCTTCTTGCCTGAGATACCTGAGTAGCTGGGACTATGGGCCTGTAGCACCAGGCTCAGATCAGAAACAGAATCTTGAGGAGAATACATGATTATTGAACTGATTCCTATGTAACTATAAAAACAGCAACTCAGTCACTAAATTGGACTGGCCACTCAATCATTCAGTGGCGACTTCTTAAACACCTAAAATGAGCCTCATCTGTGCTGATGATGTAGGAGATCTATGTGTCATCTTCATTGTGTCAATCTTGAGCTAATCTAACAGTTCCTCAGTCCAGATTTTTCTAAGCCCTGTTGAAGCAGAGTAACATTTGCCCCCAAAACCTACTTTCTAGTGTGTCCATGTGGGCATCCTGCTATACCTCCCAGGCCCCAGTATCCCTTGCTATTTGGTTTGCAACAAGAGGAAGCTAAAAGCCAAATTTATTTTATAAAACCCAATCCTGTTCTCTCAAGGCTTGTCTATGGTCATTGCAATATAAACGCCATTTGCAATGCCCTTCCTGTAAGTGGTATAATATGATATGAAGACAGCTGTGGAACAGAACTGATATTACATAATTTTTTATCAGAGAGTCTAGTTCTGCAGGATGTTTTTCAGACAAAACCAAATAAAATAAAACACGAAGGTGGAGTGGATATTCACTATCTTTTGTTGTGTTTTGGATGAGAATAGGCCCCATGGGCTTAGTTGGTGGGACTTTGTGGAAAGGCTTAGGAGGTGTGACTTGTTAGAGTGGGTGTGCCACTGGGGGTAAGTTTTGAAGTTTCAAAACTTACATTATTCCTCGTGCCTGTGGGTCAAGATACAAGCTCTCAGCTACTGCTCCAAGGCCATGCTTGCCTGCCGGCTGCCATGCTCCCTACCACAATGGCCATGGATTCTAGCCCTCTGTAACTGTAAGCCCTCAATAAACTCTTTCTTCTATAAGTTGCCTCAGTCATGGTATCTCGTTACAGCAATAGAAAAATAACTAAGGCACATCTCCTTGATGCATATATGTACCATCCAACAGGGTCCCTGTCTAACAGCATCAGCATGCCACTCAGAGGCTGTAAGATCCTCCCTAGGAGCCTGCAATACAAGCGTGTTGTGCCCAACTTGGTAGGGTGTATCTGCTCCAATCTAAGCACCTGGAGCTTTCCTCTGCCTCTTTGCACGGGATAAGGGGAAATGTTCTCAGTAACTCACCAGAAGAGGATAGAGGAAAGGAGGAGCCAAGGAAAGGAGAAAAGAAGGGAGAAGAGGGAAAGCCAAGAATGGGGAAAGAAAGGAAAATTCTGCACAGCGCCAAGTGGAAGAACACATCTTGTCTGACTGCAGCCCATTTTGCCCATCAGATGCCGTGGTAATTTAAGTTTAGATGAAAACAAAGGCCTGCTTTAATGGTGTCAGGACAGGAGACTGGTGCAACGTGTGATGACTCCCTAGAACCTTTCAAGGTAAAGGGGGAATCAAAGTGGATCTTCCAAGAGAAAGGTGTGCACCTTAAGGATCACACGAGCAATGAGATGGTGCTGAAGATGGGGAACAGGAGCGATGAAAGAATGGGGTTACAGCTGACTGAGCAAAGGGGACCCTTCATCTTTTGCGTCTGTACCTAATCCATGATACTGCTATTATTTTGATCTACATAAGTGGCAACATTGTATGGTCCAAGCTGTCATTGCTGGGGTACATTTTACCCTTTACGAGGAGTTAAGACCCATGAAGATGAGTGAGATCCATTCCACCTTGAAGGAGCCCCTTCTGGAACAGGAAAAGGAACTGGATAAAGAAATATCTTCTCACTCCATATCACTGTGTTCATGTTTTGCCTCCTTTCTGATTATGCTCTTCTCGAAGGCGTGCTTCCTGCTTCCTCTCTCTTCTCTTTAAGGATGGAGCAGGCAGCCCTTGAAGCCCAGTGTCTCTGTCTGCGCAGTACATCTGGTTCACTTCCCATTATTTACTGCTTATAAAGAAGCCTGGCGTTTCTTTGGGCCATTCGTTTCTTTCTTTCTTTTTTTAGGTTTTAGGCTTCAAAGAGCACTTCCTCCACCTTTGGTCAGTTCTTTCCAATTGAAAGGCAAGCATTCTAGCAGTGAGGCATTGTCAACGAGCCTTCTGGCCTGTGTACACCACAGCAGGAATTTATAAAGCTGACTCACACTCTCACCTCCCTGTAGTCTCTAGCTGACCTTACAGAAGGAGTGGGCAGTGACATTGCCCTCCTGGAGCCATGAAATGAAAGTGTCAATTATGTCCTGAGAGGACGCTGCTCCCCTTCTCATCATAACAAAGCCAGACATTGCCCAGGTCTTCAGCAAGGCATCCAGTGAAGGCTCTACTGTGTCTGTTAAAGCAGAACCAGAGAGCTCTCATCAAGCTGACCAGATCTTGGTACATGATTTGAGATGTATATTTGAGACAAGAAAAAGACCCCGGAGCCAGCAAGGTGCCTCTATGGGTAAAGGTACTAAGTCTGATGGCCTGAGTTGGATCCTAGGATCCACGTGGTGGAGAAAGGAGAGAACCAACTCTTTGTAAATTATCCTCCAGGCTCCACATATATACTGTGCTGTGTACATGCTCGCATACAAGCTTCTGTATACATATACAAAAATAGACATAACAAATATTTCAAAAGAAGAATGAAAGAGACACTGAAGAGGCTGCCTTTGTTCCCGCTCTCCAAATGCAGAGACTTAGAGTTGAATGCACACTTTTAAACCCAACTCTTTCCATTCTGGCCTGATATTAGATCTGCTGCAAAGACTGCTGGGTCCATTCCTTTAGAAACAATGAATTTTTAAAATATATTTGTTTTGCTAGGTTTACTTCCTAATGTGAAGTCACAACAGATAACTCAGTCCAGTAAGATGCTTGTCTTAGATGAATGAGAATCTGAGTTCAAGCTCCAGGAAGCACAGAAAAAAAAAGTCAGGTATAGTGGCCATCTTGTAAATTCAGCCCCTACAAAAGCTGTTAAGTACAGAGACCCTCTAAGAAATGCTTCATTCCGAGTGCCCTAATATCATGCAGGCATACTTTTATAACTCTAATTAAATACTGGAGGACTCGGCTCACAGTTTTGGGAGAGTCTAGGGTAGGGCACTGGGATTGGCTCAGTTCTAATGATGGCCTTTGTATTGTCAGAATTCTAAGGTAGCCTATGGCATCATGTGCCAAGACACAGGGTAGGGAAAAAGCAAACAGCACTGTGAATTTTCATGGCTGGGACCACCACCTTCCACATCCTACGGGCCTGCTCTCACGCATGCGCTCACTCTCCCCCAGGTTCTCCATAGTGACAGTGCCACAGAGGCTCTTGAAAGTGTAGCTTCAATTCAGAGTCTACCTAGAACGCATCCCCCACTGAACACCTAGTTCTGAAGCTAGGGATTAGGGTCAGGCATTTTGGAAGGCACACAGTCATTCTTCCCGTCATCGCACCCACCTTGGTGCTCTGGAGTTTGCCTGAGAAAACCTTTGATTACGGCAATGGAACCCATTGCTGCTATGGCAGACTAGACTGGCTCAGACAACACATTTGTTTCAGTGCCACGGGGCTGTGCTGCTAAGAAAGCAACACCCACAGCCATCTGGGGTGCTCCCCACCCACCCACCCCGCAACCCTCCTCACTTTGGGCTTGTGTCTCCAGGAGTCTACAGCTTCACATGCTATGTTTGCTATGAAATGAAGAGAGGTCATGAGAGCACTGTAGCGTTGGCCGTCCTGACTCAGGACTGGCAGGTTAGCGTCTCCCTGTGCACGGGCACTCTCCAGGCTCCAGAGTGCACGGGCACTCTCCAGGCTCCCTTCTAAGCACTTTGCAACTATCCACTCA